AGATATAGACACTGGTAATATTAATTCATGGACAAAGATCAAAATATAATAGTGCTTAAGTGTTCTAACTGGAAAATCAAGAAACGCCAAGAATAATATTTTTCTTTAGATTTATCCTTAAAACAAGAATATTGAAGCTGATTCAAGTATTATATTATCGTCGATGAGCATTTTCATATGTGAGTAAATTACGTATATTGAAGAAGTTGTTTATGACTTGATGAGATTTGGATTTTTTTAAAAGAAACCTTTTTAAAAAGTTAGAAAATTGTAGAACAAAGTCTGCAATATTGAATCTTCTTTCGAAATTTTATATTGTTTTATGTATGACAATACGGAAATATGAGCTTTATTTAAATAGATGACATAAAATGCATTCTATAGATATGATTTACGAAATCCAAGAATGATAATGACAAAATTAGAATTACAAATCAGAGGTCTCAACAGGCCAGCTTTATGTAGGCCTGGCCTGCCCACGACAGGTTATCTAATTCTACAGCCTGCCTGTGCCTGTCATTCATTTTCCCAGACCTGGCCTGCCTGCCTGTGATTTTGCTCGGCCTGCCTGGCCTGCCTGTCGAAGCCTCTCTAGACTTTTCTATACTAATAATATATGATAATTAAACAAAACTGTGAAATAGGTATCAGGAATTGATAAAAAAAAGTCATGTGAATAGAAATGAAATGACTAGATACAACATTTATTAATTTATCATATTATGTTTAAGTAGAGAACAGGTATACAAAAAAATACTATTGTTTAAAAAAACTGTCTGGTTTTGATTCAAGCAGAGTTTGTGCAGATCTGACGAAAAGAATGTCGTTGACAGTATCTGAATCAAGCGAGGAACGACGTTCACTGATTGTTAAACCAGCAGAAGAGAATTGTCGCTCTACTCCGGCTGGTGTCACCGGAATAGAGAACAGACGACGAGCAAGTAAAGCTAAACCAGGGAATTTATTTTCATGATCACGCCAAAATGGTAGTGGATTTGGTTGTTTATAAACATTGTCGATATTCATTCGTAAATATTTTTCAAGTTCATCATTTTTAATTGTTGATGTTGGTGTTAAATTACCTTCACAACTATTATTATCATCAGGATCAGCAAACTGATCTTCGATAGACTTATGTTTTTTCTTTAAAGGTTCGGAATTTGTTGTAAAATGTTGTTGATGTAATCCTAATATATCATTTAATTGTTCACGAATATATAAATGAGCAATATTTTTGGAATACTTGGTGGTGAATGATAATTTTCTGTAAAGAGGATGAAGAACAGCTGCTGCAAGGTGTTTTTCATCGAATGTAAACTTAGATTTTAATAATTGAATAAGACGTTTTCGAAAGAAATCGGTACCTAAAATGATAATACTTACAAATAACATCTTTTATTCATTGTTCGATATTACCTTCATCACGATCATCGATACAAATCATTTCACCTTCTTTATCAACATCAGTTCCATGTAGATGATGTTCAAGTTTATTAACACAAATATAAGCCAAATGTAAAGACGGACGAGTTCCTGTTTGAACTAATATAGATACATTTTTAAATTCACTTAATAAACAAATTAAATCTTTTAATGCATCAGTACTAATATTATTTAATTTAAAGGAACATTCATTCTTTGATGATTTTGATGATAACATCGATCGAACATGTTCAATTGAAGCACCGGTCGATTCTAGCATGTTTGACATCAATAATCATCTAACTATACATTCTTGTTTTAAGGCAATACCACCAAGTTCTTCTATATCTTTATTTAAACCTTTCTAAATGACAGAATTTTTATAAAAAAAATAAATGAATCATTTTGTTGTGCTGGTTGTTTTACTCACTACTTTTATATGTCTGACAAGCTTTTTACATGTTGAGATTGTATTTAAAATTTCTTTTGATTTTGATGGTAAATCTGATAATAGTATATTTGCTTCAGCATATTTAGATGGAGATGATGTTGTTGAATCATCATCAGACGAGGAGCTATCCGTTGAACTATCACCAATATATTCAAGTTTTTTTTGTTGTTTTGTTTCCTGATGTTGTTGATGCATTGTTGATTTTTTTCGCTTGTTTTTGTTGATTGTGATAAAAAGTCAACTTTAATATATTATTGATACGATGTGCGAAGCAATGAATCACCGGATATCCTAAATAATGCAAATTTTAATACTAACAACAGAAGTATTTTAAACAACTCACCTTTCAAAGCCTTCAATATGTTCGAGCCTCTGTCACTGGTAAATGATATCCGATAACTGTCCATGTATGGTAATAAACCAAAACTATCCATTTGTTTTCGTATAGCCTAGAAAAAATTCTTGAAATTCTTTTTCTTGCGTTTGATCATTTTACTTACCTGTAGTACAGATTCTCCTGTTTTGTCTACCTCATCGTACCGGGAACAGCATAAATCGAATGAAATTAATTCATAATTTGATGTTACAAAATAAACTGTTAAATCTAAATAATTAATTTTTTTTAAACTGTCGGTCCATAGATCTGGACAGATTGTTAAAACACCAGCTTCAGCTTGTTCAATTAATATAGGTCGTGCCAAAGACCTGTAATGATCAGCTAATCGATTAACATTATAAGAAATTGTTGTTGGTGCTACAAGTATATCTTCAATATCGATTAATCCATGATATTTTTGACCTAAAAACATCGAAACAATCATTTGAATCTAAACACACTAAATAACTCACAAATATCAATAATTGTTTTTAAAGTTGTTTTTAATCCTGGATCAGAAATAATGTTGAATGGACGAATTGATGAATATATCCATTTTGTGAATTCATCTCGAATTGTTGTACGATCTTGTGAAGTTAATTTAAATGATGTTGACTTTTTCGACTTGATAAATTTATCTATTGGACCTTCTTGATTATTTTCTGATAATAGTAATGATTTTTTTGAGCATACATGTCTTAGCAAATGCTTAGTGCTCCCACTACCACCAGATTGAAATGAATACGTATCTTTACAATTGAAACAACTTGCAAAACCAATTATTTGTTTATAAGAACCATCTTCTGCACGCTTAGCAGGAAAACAAAATGTTGACCAAGCAAGTGATGAAACATTTTTTTGATCATTCTTGATAACGATAAATTGTTTGAAGTCATCTTTTTGTTTTAAAAGATTTTCAATTGATGATGTTGAATACTGTTGAGTTACATTTGAGCTTGATGTAGATGAAACTGAATCATATGAAGAAAATATATCAATATCAGACATTGTTCAGTAATATAAATATTAATCGATGAAGAATAAGAATAGTTGATGAAATGTAAGAATAATCGGTATAATATAAATATTAATCGATGAAGAATAAGAATAATTGATGAAATGTAAGAATAATCGGTTTAATATAAATTTTAAGCAATGAAACACAAGGCTCAAGAAAATATTTATCTAAAAATAACAAAAATAGCGATTACAAATACTCAGAACTAATTCAGCAAAACGAAGAAATAAAATAAATAAATAATGAATAGTGGATAATGTCATGTGATTCGCTATTATTAAGTAGTCATCAATCTATCCAATCAGTATTATCTAAATTGTCCCTCTTCCTCTAGCGATACACACTCTTAAATTTATTTATCAATAACTACGTTTTCTGATCAAAGATAAAATTTTTATTGAAAATTACCAAAAATATGATTGACAGGCGGCCTGTATATTTTAATAAGCCTGCCTGGCCTGAGGAGGGTTTTGGCCTGGCCTGCCTGGCCTGTGGCAGGCTTGAAAATTACCTCCTGTGCCTGTACCAGGCAGGCAGGCCTAACAGCCTGCTGAGGCCTCTGTTACAAATCTAACTAGGTGTTCGTATTGAAAAATAATTCGTTATTTCCTGATGTTAATATAACCTCTAGTGAGGCTAAACTCAATTGTCAAGAAATTTTCAAAATAAGATCACTAAAAGAAACATATCATTTGAAGGTCCGCAAACTTTTATTATATGACCAAAACACACACGAACTGCTCGACATACTTTGACTCACTATGCAGATGTGTTCATATTCAGCATACGAAATGAGTTGAGACTTTATTCAGAAATAGCTGACCTCTATTTTCTTCAGTGTCTCTTCGTCTATCAATTATTTTTCAGAGTGAGCTCAAACTATTTGAATAAAGTTATTCTCTAGCGCAATATTTTCAAAATTAAAATTATTTTAATGGCATGTTGATGATAATTCTCTTTATTCGGAATCTAATATTTATAAATGTCTTTTCCGAACCTTTCGTTTGACACTTCTATCTTACCGGCTGATACCCTAACAAACAAACATTTTCAAAAACTCGTTCAAACCCATGAAAAAGTGTCTTGAAAGTATAAAAAGTACGTGTTTTTTGCCCTTTTTGTGCGTTTGAACGCATTTTCAGCAAGGAAACGATTGTAGAAACATATAAACGCATAAAAAGAAGACGAAACGCAGTTGTCTTCACGATCGTAAACTGTTATCACAATCATGACGCCGATTTACGACTGGGAAGAAGATATCTGTGTTTCGTGCTCTTTTTATGCGTTTATACCCTTTACAACCATGTTCTCGTTGAAAACAGATGTAAACACGCAAAAAAGGGCAAAAACGTGTATTTTTTATATTTTTAAGACACTTTTTCATAAGTTTAAACGCGTTTTTGAAAGTATTTGTCAGCTTAGATATCCTTTCGTTTCGTGACGAAGATTTTTATAAAGTGGTTGAAAAAATTGCTGGATCAGCCGACGCTAAATTGCTAGAAGCTCAAGGAATTCGAACTGTATATGTGTTTCTCAACATAGAAGATGTATCTGGTATTCTTTCAATGTCACGCTCAGCCTTAAACGATATTAAAAGATTTGTTTTGCTTTTAAGCTGATGATTATATTTACACAACGAAAACATGCTGTCGTGGTAGTATTCGACACCTTTATCAAGGGTGTGGGTGTTGGTGGATGTGGGTATGTTTAATGAAGGGTCCACATCCATACCCATATCCACACCCTTGATTTGTTTTGTTTTATTTTTTTAGAAAAAAGTCAAGTTTCAGAATTTGTACGTTGGCTTCATGAATTTCTTAAATCACTTAGATTAGATAAATATGAAAACGAAACAGTTGAAAGAATCCTTATGTCTTCAAAACTCGATATTCATGAATTGTAAATCGAGCAGTACTTGAAGAGTATTATGTAGAAAAAGTTTTACTTCGGTATTTTATCAGCAAATATTTATTTCGAGAAAATAACAAAATATAAATTTATCTGATATTTATATAGGACCAACTTTTATTGAATATGCAGATAGTCTACCATGATTTAATCATATGTATTAATCGTTTTGTTCGAATGTGTATTATTGAACAATATCAAGGATAGGTTATTGATTTTATGCTTACAGTAATAATAAAATAACAACGTTTGTTTTAGAAAATGGATACTATTGTTGTGAAAAACATTTACTCGGAAAATTGATATGTTCATAATCACAATACATAACTATGGCAATCTGAATATGCACTAGCGTTACAAATGCTTATTATGAAAATATTGAAATTGATTCTTGTGTTAGTAGAGAACATGTTAGACTCCAATAGAGAAAAAAAACATGTTGAAAAACAAGATGTAAATTAGATTTGTTCTTATCGACTATGATTCTCTTTTTGAATTCAATTTTCAAGAAATCTCAAATGGATACGTACGTGAAATTCGCCAAAGATTCGAGTAGAAGCAGCTAGGATTCGCCTAAGAAATTGTTTCAACTGTTCCAATAGAGTTCCAATTGCAACTTGACGAGTTCTATCTACTGGTACAATCAGATTTTCCACAGCTCAAACCATAGGCGACGGAACGTTTCGAATCTAGGGTGGACTCAACAGTTTTTATAAGACCCTTACAGATAGGTTAAAAAGAGAGAGAGTCATTTTTTTTCCTGTACCATTCAAATAAAAAACAATTAGTACTGCTTATTTCCAACTGAAAATTTTTAATTTTTAGTATTAGTTCAGATCAGAGATAAGTTTACAACTTATGGCAAAAAGCTTGTATACAAATAGCCACTTAAACTTTTGTCTTGATTGAATAATGATTTTCAGATATAGTCCAGCAGATCCCAAATTCTTGAATCGAAATTCTGAATGGTAGTCCTCGTGCTCTTACTACAATTCTTTTACTTCCAATTCGATAATTACATCGAAGATACTACCTTGTTTTTTCGATTAAGTTTTCGGTGACTAGCATTTCTTTCACATTTTTCAAACACTTTTGAGGGTAATCTAGTAATAACCAAGTTATCACTAGCTGTTACATGCAGCTAGCGCCCATCAGATCTTAAATGGAAGACTTGCACCTGGATCCAGATCTGATTCTAGTCAACAGCAATACTTCGGACTCAGGCTTGACACTAGGATCGGTTACTAGGAATGCAACGGTGACGGTGGCCACCGATGTCACCGGTTCACCGTTCACTGGTCTCATCGGTCCATCGGTTCACCGTAGCACCGGTGACACCGGACCAAATGTACCACGGTAGCCGTTACGAGAGATACACTAGCTCTAATTTTGACTTCATTGTAATTATAATTCGTTGAAGACACAAACATGTCGTCACATAAATAGTTACTTCACTATGTACTACTGCCCATTCGAAAAAAGAAGGTGGGTGGGTATTTTTAATTAACTTTTGATAGGAACAAGATAGAGGGCTGCGATTTTCACCGTTGGAAAGAGCAGATGAAAACATATCGAACCATATAAGACAAATTACTTTTAATTTGGATTTTTGAAACCTTTTGCAATAGTTGAACAAAGAAATGTCTTACAAACAGGTCTGATTTTTCCAGCAAAAACGAAAAAAATTGAGTTTTTTTTACAGAAACTGCTGGCAAAGTGGGCTAGAATTATCGAATATAGTAGCTAGAACTCCCAAACCAGTAAAGTATTGAATCGAGCGTTATATATAGTTTTGTAGCTCTTAAGCTGGCGATTCTAGCACACTCCTCAAAGTTTAAGATTTGTTCTACTTTCATAGTGCAATAGTCTAGTCTTTCAAGATGACAATGGATCAGCACCTATTTTCGAGGTAAACCTTAACAAATTTATATGAATCAATGTGCTGAATCCGTCTCTTTCCAAAATCTTTCCAAAAGTGAAAACCACAGCTCTGTATCTTGTTCTTATCAAAAGTTATTCAAAAAATATCCACCCGCCTTCTTTTTTTGGAATGAGCACTAGTTTTTTATTCTTTTCTCAAAAACTAAGAGTTGTCCGACCTGTCTACGTAAAACGTGATTCCGTCACGCTTTTTTTGTCTTATTTCATACAAATGACTCGATCTCTAGAATCCAATGCATTTGCAATCTTGGACAAAAAATTGTGCTTGTCAAATGAGACACTGCAAATTTGTCTGAAACTTCTCATTCATTACAAACGAGCGTGACGGAATCATCTCCCTCCGTGGACAAGTCGTGTCCAGGAAAGGAGGTAGTATATCTGGGATCCTTATAAAATTCTGAATCGGATAATGTATTTTGTTTTCTTGTAAACCACCCCCAAGAAAATCGACTCGATTTGCTATGACATATTATTTTTTACTTCTTTTTTTCGTTCTCCCATTTTTTTCAAAATCTTGCACAATTATGATGAATGTCAATAGTGCAATGTCAACAAACGCATGGGTGTGGATGTGGGATGTGGCTGTGGGTGGGTGTGGGTGTGGGTTGGGGTGGGGGTGTGGGTGTTGGTGGGTGTGGGTGTGAGTTGGGGTGGTGGTGTGGGTGGTGGTGTGGGTGGTTGAACAAGAACAGAGACCTGTCCAAATTCCATGCATTCCGAACTCTTGACGTATTCTTCAACTCAACAATTATTCAACACATACGGGCACTAAGAAACTAAAGCATAAGACGGCGTAAACATATTCCAGGATCTCAAGGATCCGAAGGAATTCAAGGAACTCAAGAATCACAAGGAATCAAAGAAAGTCAAGGAACTCAACGATCCCACGAAACTCAAGGATCCCAAGAAATTTAAGGATCTCAAGGAAGTCCCGGATCCCACGGAACTCAAGGATCCCAAGGAACGCAAGGAACTGAAGAAGTCCAAGGCTTTCAAGGAGCTCAAGCCTGTCAAGGAATTTAAGGTACCCAACGATCTCATGGAAGTCAAGGATTCCAAGAAATTCAGAGATCCAAAGGAATCGACGGAATTCAAGGGTTCCACGAAATTCAAGGAGCTCAAGGACTTCAAGGAACCCAAA